CATTCTGCAACAACTTTTCCATTTTGGTAAACACAGTCAGATGATTGCTTTAAATCAGCAGTATTCAAGTTTGGAAGTAAAGATTCATTAACACCTGGGCAGAACTCTAGACAAACCATCATCCCTCCCATTTAACTTAACAACCGCTCTTTAATTAGTTGGCATTTATGATGCAGAAGCCAGCAAAAGCAGTCATCTAGATGGAATTTTGGATTAGTAATATAAGGTATGGTACAGGTTTCCATTTTTGGAAATGGATTTTATGTTAATTATGACATGATTGTTTCAATTTGGCCTATTCATATTCAGAAAAAAAAGTTCTATAGCTTTTCTATCAATTCTGCTTAAATCAGAAGATTAAATATGGTGTAAATAAGTCCACTAAACAGCCCTTGTAATTTTTTCGCTATGTCATCACAACCTAATAATTGGTTAGAGCTAACTAGAATTACCTGATTCACAAGCGTGCTACAGCAGCCTTAATTCAAGATTTAGATCTTGATTAATCACAATTTGACCAACTGTATGTTACAGAAAACCATATTTATAGAAATAAAAATTGAAATTATTAAGAGGGGAAGAGGAGGAAGTAAACATTTACAATAAAATCTTGATATTTTAAAAAAATCTTGATATTATTAAATCTATTAAAAAATATTTCAAAATAAGGTCAAAAGTTTCAAATGTGATTTTTTAAACTGGAACAGATGAGCAATGGATTGGAGAAACTATCATATCTATATAAACATATAATACTGGATGTAATCATTTATTTTAAGTACCCAATTCTCAGAATATTTACTAATGACTATGCTAGCTATGGAATTCTGGGAATTGAAAGCCACACATCTGGAAGGCAACATAAGGAAAGCTGTCCTAGGTAGAAGTATGTGGGACAGATATGTCCCATTAGGAAAATAATCTAACACAGGACCCAATAAAATAGGATTTGAAATCAACTGTTGTAACTGAAAATCTCATTTTAGGAATTAATTACAGTAATATGATCATTTAGTGCTCTAGCGGGCACACATGCACACACACTGTTTATGAAGTGCAACCTATCTGTTTCAGAACTTTCTATTTTGAAAACTTCTAAGTTGTCTAGAATTTTAAAGTAGTCTAGCATTTTGAAAAATGAACTGCAGTTCTAATAGTGTTATTAATATAAATATTAACATAAAGTAATTCCATGTATGTTCAAATGTGTAACATTCCATATTTTAATCTCCAAAATAAGTTCTAAGCAAGTATCTATGATAAACATCTAGTACTACAAATGGGGATTTTGCTAATCTTAAGGGCAGAATTAATTTTAAGGTGGAAAATAATTTCCAGTTTTGAACGGTTATCTACTTCTTATCCAGAAACAGTATTTTCTGCCAATGAATGTACTGTATATACTGTTCATGATAATAAAGGGACCATTTTTCCTGAACATTTTAGATGAGGAAGATATTTCTCCAAAAACATGCATTCCATTGCAGGTTCAGTAAGTTAAATGGTGTGTTGTTTCCCAAGTCCATACTGGTTCATAAATATTTTTTAAATGTACACATGCTATCCAATGTATAAACATGTACTTAAAACAATATACTGAATTCAACAGGTCTCAAGTTTGTACAATCAGACTAATCCTGAGAGAGTTAAGAGCAGCTAACCTTACTGAAACCAATAAATAATATGACATAAACTCAGGCCATGCAGTCATGCATAGCATTTAAAATTGGTACAACAGAAGTCTTCAATTATAAGAAGGTGAGAAACGGAGAATAGATTGTTATTTAAACAGTAAATGGGCCAGTTTGAGATACTGAGTCATTATCTGGATTCACAAAACTTCATGGACATTTTTTTTCCACATCACAGGAATGTGAGCTGCCTTATTAAGTTAACTTTTCCTCTTAGTCTGCAGGAAAATTACATTTAATTTATGTCAGCACACTTCAAATTCTTCCATTAGATTATATTATTTAAAAATAACAGTCAAGAATAGGGGTCCACAAACATTCATGCCAGATAACCATACACATAATTCTAGCCTGTTGCATCTCCACCCACTATGGAAAATGAAAGCTACTTATGCACATAGTACTAGAGAATCTCTTCAAAATGGTAGTCTCACTTTCTAGAAACAACTAGCTGCCAAGTCCAGAAAAAATGTGAATAGTTTGCTTATTTTAACTATCAGCAATTAATACATCAAAGCAGAGATGGCTGTGTTGTCATAGGACACGTTACATCCCATATACTGATCTACAGACCAGGTATGCTTTGTCCAATGTGACCTCTATTATACATGATCAGGCTGTATTATAAAGATGGTATCACTTACAAAAAGAGTTTCAAATGTAGAACATATGTTATCAGACAATGTGAGATAACAAATGTAGAGATCAGGCATGGGAAGTAGTTTTCTTCTTGAAAAATATCTTAAAAGACCAAATTAGTTCTTTATCCTTCCACAATACTGCACCAATTTATATGAAACATATGTCTCATTTATTTTCAGTCCATTTTCTAAAATAGACTGAATTTTATTTTAAAAATCTCTCCTTAATTGGCAGAATTCCCAGGTAATTCAGCTGCCACTTGGTCATCCTAGTTTTTGAAATTTATCTCACAAACATGTATAGATCTGCCCTAAAACACTGGAATTTAAAGTGACTGTTTTGTGAGCCATTATTCTGTTTTACAATCTTAAATGTAGAAATTTTATCTGGTTTGATAACAATAAGTTTAAAAGTGGAGAAAATTATTTAAATTAGAAAGAGAATCTACAAAAGATAGGTATAGTATCTTTCACAGAATTATTTTTAAATCAGAAGGTGTACCATTTAGAATGTATGTGAGTGCTATCCCACCATGTACTGCTTTTAAATAAATCTTATTGAAATAAATGGACCACCAGAACAAAGATGAGTATCTTTTAATTAGCAGAAGAGAAGTTCCTGCATACTACTTTCTTCAGTTAGATTGACTAATTAAAATTAAAAGTTATTTTCAAATGTGTCCAAAACAAAACATGGATAGAGTTAAAGTTTTAATAGAACTTCTAACTTTATCAAAATGTCTTATCTTCCAAATCAAATGGTTTTAAGAACCCCTCACTATAATGAATGCTGCCTGAGGCCATTTGGTCTCCTAAATGAAGATACCTTTATTTTTGGTGGAAGGAATAGATATATCCCTTTTAAGAAGCAAACATCTGATTTTTCAAATACTTCCTTCTCATCCACATTTGATCTTTTTTTACCAAATTCAAATAACTGTACTAATAAAGCTACAGCCAGTAACAATGAAACAATAATTATCAGGCTCTTTTACTCAAAACTACCCTTTTGCAGCCTGCTGTAGTGCCTGTTTATATTTTTAATGATGAAGACTTATCACCCTTCCCACTATGTATTGCACTCTAAAATGGTGGCCATGTCTGCCTAGGATTCTAAAAGAAAAGATCTCTCCAAACTCCAGTGCAATATATTTATCCATTTTCAACTTTAAAATATGGATACCTTTATTAAAATCAAGCCAGATGGCTCTAGAATGGCCACAGAATTGCTTTTATAGCTACAGAAAAGAGGGAAATAAGGAAATCTTCAGCTTTAGCTCAACCACAATGCCAACATGGAGGGCAACACCCAAGCAGCTGTCTCATTTAGGTCTTTACACAATGATTGCTCTAAGTATTTATATTGAAAGCAGCAGTGTAGCTCTAAAGAATTTGACAAAACTTAAACTTTGTTTGACAAAGTACCTGACCAGACACAAAACTACTTTCAAAATATCCAACTTTATGAACTGGCTGTCTCTTTCTAGGTATACAATTTCCTCTAAAACTACTTTCATTGTAGAACTCCACACTTTTTAAACACTTAAAAATATATCATATAGCATACACTTTCCATAAGTGCCTGCAAGGAGAAAATGTAAATCTAGTCTTGCAGGGAAGTTTTTAAGCCCTTTATGAAGTTAAAACATTTTTAAAGCTGCACCCATGATGCCTAGTTAGATCTTCCGCTTGGATAGAAACAAAAGCTTCAACTGCTGTTTAAAGGCAGTGCCCACTAGCGACCCTCGGAGAAGTCATCCCAAGAAGGCCCTTCAAAAACAACACCGAGATAACTTCTTCCTTTGATCTAAAAACCCGGCAGCTTAGAAATGTTGCGTGCGTGTGTGAGAGAGAGAGAGAGAGAAAGGGAGAGGGAGAAACCGAATAAAAGTACGCGTTTGTTTCTTGCTTCCCAAATTGTCAGTTAGACCCCACAAGGCAACTTTACTTGGACCGCGGAGGGTGGCGAGCGGGCAGAGTTTCTCGAGTGGAGTCAGGGGCCAAAGCAAGAGCGATGGGGGAGCTCGCCGGCAGCCATGTTTGTGGGTCTCCCTCGGGGAACCGAGCCTCGAAGCCCGCTTGATTATAAGAACGGCCAAGCGACACCCCACACTCCACTCTCAACCGAGCGAGGTGGGGTGGGGTGGAGGAGCTATTCCGGGCTGCGAAAACAAGCCAACCTGAAGCACACAATGCTTTTTAGGATACCGGACTCCTAGGATGGCGAGGCGAGGAAGGGGCTCCCCCTGCCGCCCCGTTGTTCCCCCTCACTACCCCCGCGACGGAAAGCCTCGAGCTGTCCCTGAACAGATGGGTAACAGGGAATCCCTCTTAGGAAAGGGCGCACTTTTCCCCGTGATGTCGCGGGGGGTGGGGACGAAAGAAGGAGGGGAAGCTTCGTGCAAGAGGAGAGGGCGGAGGAAGGGGGAGTTGGGGGAAAAGTTTCTGAGCAGGGACGGACGGGGATGCCCGGCAGCCGAGTTCAGTGAAAGCCTGGGGAGGGGAGAGGTACTGGGGTCTCCGGAGGACCGCGTCGAAAGGGGCGAGTGGCCGGGGAGACGACTGGTCCCCAGTCTATTTTCACGCAAGGCTTCCCCCCTCAGCGCCTGCCTGGGGTGTGGGCAATAGATCGACCCTGTCCCGCGGGTCGTCGTCAAGGTTCACTCACCGGCGGTGGCCGCACCTTGCAGATCCCGGTCCGCTCGGCAATGGGCCGGATCTTGTGGATAAAGCCGAAAGGGTCCGCGAACTCTTCCCAGCTCGGCTCGAAAACGGGGCACTCGGGCGGCGGCAGGAACTCGGCCATGGCCAGCTAGATCGCCGGCAGGACGGGCAGCTCCGACTAAGGCAACCGTTCCGAACAATCCCCCAACAGCCAAAGCGTCGCTGAACACCTCTAGAATGGACCGTGTGCCTCCGCGCGAGAGGGAGGGAGGAGGAAAAAGAGTCCGTGGCTGAGGACAGGCTCTATGAGAAGTGCCCCCCCCCGCTTTTTCTTAGGGGCTGTCGTTCATTCTCACCACATGGGGTGCCAAGCCCTCCTTCTCCTTCCCACCCCTTTGTTTGGGGGTCGGGCGGCAAGACTCTTCTAAAGCAGTTAACAGAAAACAGGGCTATATCTCCTCACTTGCAGAAGGTTTCTCCCCCGGCGACTGTGGCTGGGGTTTAGGGCCTACTGGGCCCAAAGGATCGCAGGTTGACAGGAAGAAAGGCTTTCGGCCTCTGTACCGTGGCTCTCGCGGCGGCGGATGGGACGATTGGGAACGAGGGCCAGGCCTAAAGGCCCGATGGCGAGCAGTCTCCCATTGTTCGGATTGGTTCAGTCGAACCCGTTGCTACAAACTTTAGTTACCTTTAGTTGGTATAATATGTACAGTCGTGGATGGATGGGACTCTGAGGAGTACACCCTTGGCTTGAATTAGCTGAGATTGCTTAAGAAACCGGGGTGTGTCTTGGCCTGGATGCACGTACTCTTGCAGCCATGTGCACAACAGATTCACTCCATTTTCTACCTCCAGCTTTAATTTATGTCTGCCCCATTTACCTTTTCTTTGTTTTTTTCCACATAGCTATAAAATCGTTTTGAATAACTATTTTGGTATGAATAAAGCCATTTTCTATCTCTGAGCTATTGAGATTCTCTAAGTATAATAAGAAAACATGACATATGAAAACAAAATAAGCCTCCTGCCAAAATCTCAGGCATAGTTTTCAATTTAAAAATAAAGGCAAATTTCTGACACACATCCCTCCCAAATCTTGCCATCCAGATCAAATGGTTCATCTGCCTCCTTTCCCCACCCCTGCAGCCCTGAAATGAGGAAGTGCCATAGAAAGTCATATTTGTTTTATTATACTGTTGTTGACTGATATCAATTTTTATCAAGTTTTAAGTATCAAATGGTCATAAGTAGGATAGGGGAGAGATCAGGGTATCAATTCTTCTGAACCCTCTACTATTTTTGGTAAATTAAAAGGTATATTTCTGATGCAACAGAACAACGCACACAAAGAGGGATGGGACTGATATATCTGTACATTCTTTAAAACAAATTTGGCATTATGAAAAATAAGCATCCCAACAAGGTACAGTACATGTAACTATCAATAGTCTATTCAAAACTGCTTGTTTTACAGTAATATTTTGAACAGTATCACAGGAAGAGACTTAATTTCTTTGTATAGTCTACAGTACTATTTCAGAATGGAAATTGGGTGAGGCCAAGAAAAGGTAAATCATGTTTTTTCTCTTACAGTAATTGTAGTTTTTAATCTATCTTTTTATTAATCTAAAATAACTAAACAACTTGATTCTGCTTGTTTGGCAGTAAAGTCTACTGAATTCAGTGACATTTATTTTCAAGTAAGACTGACATCCACTTAACTGCATACTGCATTTTCAGTGATTCTGGGAATTATTTTACTTTGCAATTTATCTTATCTTAAAAATTTGTTACTTTTAAACATATTGGCCCATGAAATCTATGATAAATTTACTTTGTCTTAACTTTGGCTTCTTAAACAGTGTCCAAAATAACATAGCTTTATATTGGTTCCAAAAGAATGCTGAGGTTCTAATATTGAAGGAGAGGCAAATATGTATATAAAAAGGCTTCAGTATTCATTTAGAGAAAAAAAAAAAGCATGCTTGGTATCCTGGGTTTTATCACAAAGCAGAATTCTTTAGTAGTCTTTCTCAGAACTAAATTGAATATAGCAATTTCAGAAAACAGATTCTAAAGCTGTGTGTGAATCCTCTCAGAACATAAGAGCAATTTTATTCTAAATATATTAAGATTTTTTCTCCTATACAGCAATTTATTTAGCTTGAACAAAAATATACATGCTTGTTTAAACTTCTTATAAGATTAAGTAATTTCCTCATATAGACCTGCTTGCTATATAAAACTTTGGGATTTGTCTTTGTTTCAGAAACCTATTATGGGATTGTTGCAGTGCTAGAGTTCCTCCAACGGAAGATCACTCGAGGCCTCTAAGCTAATGAGTTGCACGCAGAGAACGCCAACCACATAGGTCTCTACTCTCTAATCCACCTTCGCCTTTATGATCTATGTTTACATGTGCGGAGCGATCTTTCACAGCTGACAGCCATCTCAGTGCCGGCACTTCTTTTTTTAAAGAGCCTCTCTATTCCCCGGGATAGGCCAAAGGCTTGGGGAACGTCATAAGGGGAGGGAGGCTGAGCTGTTTCATTGTCTGCGCCTGGCGCTGTGCAGTGGGGAAGCCTTCTTTTCCAGTGTAAATCACTGCACGGGGGGCGGGGGGGAGGAGAGTAAACTGGAACGCTGCTCTATGTGTGGCTTTCTAGCCTGCATAGAAGAATCGAAGGCCCTTCAGTACGGGCTTGTAGGCAGATCACTGGAGTCTCCGGGACAATGGAAACTGGTGATTGGATGGGAGGAAGAGGACGATCCGAGCAATCATTATACACTGATGCAGCAACTCCATCTTAAATGGGTTTACTTTGATCCTCCACTGAGGTGAAGGAGATATTTACTCCCTAGTAAGTATGCAAATGCATGTGGAGGATTATAGCTTTAGCATTTGGGACTGTAATCCTACATCAACTTCCTTGGGAGCAAACCCCATTGATCTCAGTGTGATTTACTTCTGAGTAGTGATTAATAGGATTCTCCGTGTTAAACGTGCCGCGGTCCTAGACAGAAAAATCAACCAGAGAGTTGGTACTTGTTAACGTACTTTTCCCACTAGCAATGAGGCGTCTGCGTATCAGTACAACTTTGAGCACTCCATATTTTGCAGAATATGCTTAAACTCCGACTAAACTCTCCTTAACCAAGTCTTAGCTGTGGAGTCCTTGGGGTCTTAGCTTTCCAAAAGTGGTTCACGTTAACTGCCTCCCTGTCTTGTTCTCTGGATGATTAAGCCTTCCTCATTAGCAGAATTCTTCAATAAGAAAAGGGTGGGAATATTGGAATTATTCCAAAAAGTTTTATGCAAACAGGTTCCTCCCTGTGCCCTCTTCTCTGCCATTGTGAGTTATATACAGCCTTCCTGAGTTAATCAGCACCTTTTTGTGGGGGGGAAGGAGATGCTTTCTTTACAAACAAAAGTTCAAACCATCTCCCTCAATATCACCCAGCAATCTTTCAAATCTTGGCATGCAATCATTTTTAATCCGTCCTTATCCTCCGCCCTCCCTAACAGCTATGCCTCTGATTCAGTTTCACACGAAGCTCAAGGTACTCATACTATTCTGTATCATGTGGGAAATTTACAGTACAAGATTCCCCGACCCGGTAACTTAAGAGCCTGGGGGCTTTGTCCAAATCACCTTTCTAACTAGCACTGTACGTGGCATCTAAGCTCTTCTGATCCTGCTCAAACCCCACCCCACTTCTGTTAGTGGCAAAAGATGGTGAAGGCGGGATGGACGGTGATGGAGGTGATGTCATTTGGTTTATACACTGCTCTTTGATAACCAGAACCTTACACTCAGATTAGCATCCTTCAGCTTTTGGCCGGTGTGTCAGCCCACTTGAGGACAATTAGCAGGACAAAAGGAAGAACAATCCTCTCTATGTCAGATTATCAAAGGGAAGTACACCCTACACAGGATGGGGCCAGATCCTGTAGACGAAGTCCAAACCCCTCCATCAGCATCTATCTACCAGTGGTCTCCTGTTGTACAAAGGTAGGGAGTGAGAAAACAGGAGAGCCAACAAATAGGCCAAGTATTACCAAGATGATGTGACTGATACCACCCTATCCTCAGGTATTGACCCAACAAAGAGGGGATGGGCCAAAGCGCCTTGCATAGAATACAGCCCCCACCTGTAGGGAGAGAGGAAGAGTCTTGCTCTCTAGGACCCAGGGGAGCAGCAGGAGCTGCACGTAGCACACGTGTATTTGCTACCGTATTTCTGGGCCAATCTGCTCCTCCCCCATCCGAAGGGAGAAGTCGTCACTCTTTCGACACGGCCTGGGTACCACCCCCTCTATTATCCGGACTTTTAGTTCGCCCCTCCCCGCTGCCTTCTGCCCCTCTGCTCCTAGGTATGCAATAGGCAGGTTTGCTAGTGTAGCAACAGCTGGTGGATCCAGGCCTTTCATTTGCATATCAAGTGCTTAAAGTATATGCTAATGCCCAGGGCATGGTAGAGGTCCGCCTTTTTACCTTCTTGCCACACTCGAGAGTTAATGAGTTATTAAAGGTGACAGTGTACACCCTTTTAGTGCATGCTAAAGCTATGCAGCAGATTAACGACTGTAAGGATTGAAGTAGGGAGTGGTTTTATTCTGGATTAATTAAAAACAGAAAAGCCCCAAGGATCTGTGACTAAGTGGTGGTGTACAAAAGTGTGGAGCATAATCCAGTGCATAAATGACAATGAATCTCATGGCATCTTAAAGCTGTGTGGGGAAGCCAAGAGTGCCACTTCCAGAGACCTGCAGATGAGGGCGGCAGTGCTATACAGGCCAAGTGCCTAAGTCTGCATGGGTATGTAGGGCCCACCAGGAATGCTGATAGAGGTAGCTACAGAGCCCTTTTTTATTTAAAACAATATAATCAAATCCTCTACTTAGCAACAGATTCTCATTTTATATTAGCCCTTTCTAGTACAAAAAGTAACATATACACATGACAACAGAAGCAAAACTCAGTAAAATAATCATAAGTTGGTAAAATATAAACGTACTCAGAGGTTGGCTAGAGTTTTTTATGTTAATATGTGAGCAATTAAAAGTGGCAGGAAATAGCAATAAGAAATATTCTAATTCTTTTACAACTGAAGTAGTTCCCACAGCATTCTAAAGGGGGCACAATAAGAAATAAGCAGGAAGCATTACATGCAGAGCCTAAAATCGTCTAGCTGCTTCACCACGGCTTACAATACATTAATCATAATGAGGGTAATATTTAAACATTTATTTAATGGCAATGGCCCTCCCTGTGTTCTCTCTCTATTAAGTAAAAGCTACATACTAAGCAGTGTAGATAACAAAACTTTAAAAGATCTGGGTTAAAAGATACTTGAATCTCCCTTATATTTTAACAGCAAGTGGCAGCTTCAACTTTAACATAATGTTCCATGGCAGATCTATCCATAGAGAAAAGGAGAATTAATGGTCCTTGTTTAAGCATATCTATGGTGGGACCTACAAAAGGAGTCCCATTAAAGACAAGACTTCATATATATTTAAGTAGGACTAATACCAATATGGAGTTCTCTATTTTTTGTTTAGCTAATAAAGTGATGCTTAGAATAGTCTTCCTCAGTCTGGTACCCTCAACTTATCTGAGACTAGCTGACCTCATCATTAATCCACCATGGTTATTGGCACACATCTAGGAAAGTTGGTTGAGGCTGGGGGGCAGTTTTCACTTAGCAACTTCCATAAACTAAAAGAAAAATGTAAATTTCAAAGCATATACACACAAAAATA